GTTAACATGGCGTGGAGAGGACTTTCATTGGGGCTGAGATGGCAGATAGTGGGTATCCATGCAGCTGGCATGCCATTCAGGACCACCGGGGTAACCTTGGTTCCTGCCATCCTTCTATCAGTAGATCTGTCCGGAAACACCAACAAACAGATGCGGTCAAGGACCGACCAAGGCCGGTGCATCCCAGGAACATGACTCCAGCTGAACATCTGGCTCGTTACGTTCGCGCGGGCACTGGGTTGAAGCAACTCTGGGAGATGTTTGTCAACCAAGGCCGTGCGTAACCGTCTCAAGACTCTTGGATTGAGGTCTCGAGAGGGTGATCAGGCATCCAACTCTGACTCATGAACATCAAAGGTGTTTTGCTGGAAGACGCTGAAATCATCGGACCTGGAGACGGATCCATTGGTCAGACGAACGCAGGTCATTGCTTCATGTTACGGATGATCGTCTGAGAGTTTGGAGTCGCATTAGCATTGTGAATGTGCTTAGGAACATTCATCCTCCTGTTCCCTTTGTTGGAGCTTCAGTTGTGGTGTGGGGGTGTGTCTCCCATGACTGTAAGTTGACATTAAGGACTGAACGGGGAAGAACTATGGCCAGCGCTACATCACGGGTATTCTTGATCATATTATTGTGCCTCGTTGTGATAACCACCCATTGGCTACCCGCCTCATATTGATGGACGACAGCGCTAGGCCACATAGGCTGGTGGGGAGTTCCTGTGGAGTATTTTGAGACTCTCCCTTGTCCTGCAAGGAGCCCTGAACTGTACCTAATTGAGCTCGTCTGAGACATTCTTGGTCGTCATTTGCAGGGAAGAGTGCCGCATGTACAAAATGTGGGTGAACTGGAGGCAGAATGACATAAGGAGTGACGTCGTTTGCCTCGGGAACGTATTCGCAGGCTCACTGGTGGCACGAGGTGGAGGCTGTATTCCAAGAACCAAGGACGTGGCCTTTACAGACAGCGAAATATCATCATGTGTTGTGCCAGGATAATACGTGTTCAATGAACTACTTTTCTACAAAATCAACAGTGTTGGCATTTCTCACGTACAGAGCACAAAAATTAACATATTGCCTACATCTCTTGGCTTTTCTGTAGTCAACTCTTCAATCTTCCATCAAATAATGAGGCATTACTGCCCTACAGACACACATTCAGGATAACAACTTAAGTATTTCGCGAGAGCGACGTTGTTATCCATGAAGTTTGTCTTTATTGTACTTCCCAACTTCTAAAATGCCACTCAAAGAAACTACTGCCCTTCTTGAAGTATGAAAGTTCTGACACCTTTCTGTTCATATCACTATTCTGAAACGGGGTGCTTAATTAAGAACCATGTGTATGATTTCAACTGTTCTTATTTACGAGTGAGACCCGTTAAGATCCGGGCTAGTATTGCCCTTCAGCAACCCATGCTTGTCGTTAGAGGCGACTAACGGGATCAGGTGGTCAGGCTCACTGACTTGGTTGACACATGTCATCGGTTCCTAATTGCGTAGATCAATACTCATGCTGTTTATCACTTGAGTGTCTGGTCCAGACTCGATTATTTACAGACTGCATCCATATGGTTATCTCCCAATTGACAGACACCCAATTGACAGACACTGAACTAGAAGGTTAATTAGGGTAACACCTACGGGTATAATGGAACAGTCCACTGTCTTGTGGGTAGAGCAGGGTGAGCCTGAAACAGGTTCGTTACTGAGAAGTTTGATTGTGGGTAAATAGAACTTTGTTGTGATTAAATGATAAATGATTTCTCTTCTCAAAATTGATTTTACTATCAATTACTATCGAATATGAAAACAGGTTTGTCACTGAGAGGTTTGATTGTGTTTATTGATAGAAAAGCCCCCTCCCAATAATAGCATATGTACAACAGAAGTTAACTGAGAAACGTTTTGTTGGAGAGATATAGATATGTACATATTTGAAAAGATTCTGATTTGCAGTGAATGAGACACCTGCATTGCAATGTAAGATACGATTAATACCAATCAGTGTTCTAATTTTAACAATACTTTCTAAAGATTGTAACATGTTATGTCTTTGTATAGTATACAATGGGCATTCAAGGACTGACTGACTGACTGAGTTTGGTTTTACGCCGCTTTTAGCAATATTACAGCAACATCACGGCGGGGGACACCAGAAATAGGCTTAACACATTGTGCCCATGTGGGGATTCGAACCCGGGTCTTCGGCGTGACGAGCCAACGCTTTAACCATTAGGCTACCCCGCCGCCCCTGCATTCAAGGAAGTAATGAAAAACATTCTCACATCCATGTCCACATTGACATGATGTGTCATATTTTAAATATATTCTAAATAAGTCATAATTAAGTACACTCGTCATATATATATATATATATATATCTTAATATTGTGTGCAAAACATATAACAACTTCTTTATTCCATATAAATAATATTTAGGTTCACATTTGTCTTTATTTGATTTATATGATACAACAGTGTCGCAATTTCTAATAGCCAAGCTGATGTTTTCAACATGATGATGCCGACTCCCGTTAGACTAGAAGGTTAAACCGAAATGTTTATGAAAATAAACTGTTTTTATATTGCAGCAATAAAAAAATCAAATCTTTTCGTCGATCTTTCGAAACAAATAATATAGCTTCAGTTTGTTCCTGTGGTTTTTGTGGACTATTCCATTATGATGTGTAGGTAACAGGTAGTAGATAATCTGTTGTTGTTTTGCGAACTGGCTGTCTGCGTAATGGGAGGACACCATCCATATAGCTGGAATATTGTGCGGCGTAAAACTAAACTCACTCACCCTTAACGAGTGGCTAACGCCACCATCAAGAGGAACTTATTTAAACGATTAATGATTAGAACCATGAATTGTACGCGTGCTTTTTTTAGATCAGCTACTTTTTGCTGACACTCCTTTCACTCATGATGTTGAGTTAGATATCAGAAACATCTATAGAAACTGCCGATCAATGTTCAACAAAAACTGACTATGTGGGTCGTATTACTTACATAAAAAAATATTGATCGTGCCCTGTAGATGCCTTGATTATGTGTGTATGTTTGCTATCAGTGAATGAGTTTAGTTTTACGCCGCTTTTAGGAACATTATGTTAACACAAGAAATGGGTTTCACATTTTGTATCCATGTGGGGAATCGAACCCGGGGTTGAGCGAACGTTTTAACCACAAGGCTACCCCATCGCCCCTGTTTGCTATTTGGATTTCAACAAATGGTAAACTCCTGCCTCTGGTTTTTCAGCTGCCATGTTGTGATAGAACTGATTCACACGGCTGCATCTCGACGTGTCAGCTGTGTGTGGTAATCAAGGTACGTGACGTGCATCACTCGGGTAAGAATTCTATCCTTGTGTAATTCACTCACCAATCTACCCTAGATGGAATTTATTGATGTAGCATTATGAGTGTACACGCTGTGTTTTCTACCATGAAATGCTTATATGAACGTATAATGTGTTAAATATATGACATATCACGTATGTGTCAATTGGTCCATTTCTCGGACGTTAGCATACGTTAAATAGACGTGATGATATTCAGGGCGTGCAGGAAAGCACAAGCGTCTGGAGAGAGGTCAGGAATTGAAATAAAGTAATCCCGCCCTTTAACAGAATATTAAATTTGTAACATACCCTTTCTTATTGTGGTGGCTGATATTGTTTCTTGGAAAGTGCCATTGAAGTCCTGAAGATCAAAGAAGCCGCTGATCTCAAACCAAAGCGTTCTACGCACGTGCCACACGAGAATTATGTTGTAGCTATTGAACTGTTCAACACGTGTTATCGACGAGGGGTCGCCCAGGTGTTCATGCCCACGGTTAATCCGTGCAGATGGCGGTAAATTGAGTGATCCAAGACGCCACAATAAGGCGGTAGTTCCCACAACCTGTGACCAAACTGTTGACTATTTATTGCAAAACTTCAGACACAAGCTACGCACTGGCTACACTATAAATCTGTTGGAGTGGTAACTGTTCAAAGTCAGTGTTTCTAGGTCACATGTTTTACATTCCTTAACTACACTCCAAGATATACATGTAAATACAACTTTTAAGTACACTAACCGATATTAAGTGTTAAGACATTCCCTAATCACTGGACTTGATATCAATGTGACCAAGGCACGCGGCGAACATGTTTGACAGGCTCTGTTTGTTATAGGGCGGGTGGGTAGCCTCGTGGGTAGCCTCGGGGTTGAGTTGTCTGGTCACCTCCACAACCTCCATCACTACAGGAGATTTATCCGTTCGGATGCAATTACAAAACTGATATTTCTAGTTAGGTCAACGATTATTGTTGGAAAATATCCAACCTTTGTCGCAAGTGGTTGAGTGTTGAGGTTGCGAGGCATATAGAAGTTGGTATTCTAGTAAAGATAAATGGATGTCAACTTTTTATTGTATACACAAGTTTTTGAATGTTACTTGCCCCTATCACCTGACGAAGGGCAAGGAATAGCCTCAGAAACGCTGTGTATACAAGATGGAGAAGTTGACATCCATAATATTTCGTCTTTACTTGTTTGAGTGTTGTATGAAAATGATTGCGACACCCGGTGTCCAAATCAATGTTGAGAGACTAGTTCATTGTGTAGATACGCTCCCATGCTGACTCTAACGTAGTCATCTCAAACGTCATGCATGAAGTACATATATGAAGTCCATTCATTCAAATCAGGGGCTGTTTTGTAGCCTAATTGTCCAAGCGTTCGCTCGTCAAGCCGAAAGTCCACGTTCTAGCCCCACACGGGTACAATGTGTGAAGTCAGTGGCTCGTTTCCTGCCGTGAAAAGGCGGTGTAAAACCTCGCTCACTCAAATAGGTAATGACGAAATCTACATGTGCGATTACTATAAACTTTATTCGTATATCTGTCCGGAACATCAGGCTAAGCTTTATAACACAATCAAGCCAGTGTGTACGACACGCCTTCAGTGAGTATACACGTTGGATGAGGGGCGTCTCCCAGGTGTTCATCCCAGCAACACTGTGGAGGGACAAAGTCTGGTGTTACACATCCTGTGTTCCACGTGTGGACGCTGACAGTCTGTTGAACCGTGCTTGTTGTCGCAGGCTCTGTGTCTCACCTGGGAGCCTCCTGCAACACACGATTAGAACATGATTAGAACATGATTAGATTCAAAGGTTGTGTTTAAAACAGGCGAGCAAATACTAGGGTTAAACCATGACCAATATGCAATCCACCCAGCATATACTGGGATTAAACCATGACCAATATGCAATCCATCCAGCAAATACTGGGGTTAAACCATGACCAATATGCAATCCATCCAGCAAATACTGGGGTTAAACCATGACCAATATGCAATCCATCCAGCAGATACTGGGATTAAACCATGACCAATATGCAATCCATCCAGCATATACTGGGGTTAAACCATGACCAATATGCAATCCATCCAGCAGATACTGGGGTTAAACCATGACCAATATGCAATCCATCCAGCATATGCTTGGGTTAAACCATGACCAATATGCAATCCATCCAGCAGATACTGAGATTAAACCATGACCAATATGCAATCCATCCAGCAGATACTGAGATTAAACCATGACCAATATGCAATCCATCCAGCAGATACTGGGGTTAAACCATGACCAATATGCAATCCATTCAGCATATGCTGGGGTTAAACCATGACCAATATGCAATCCATCAAGCAGATACTGGGGTTAAACCATGACCAATATGCAATCCACCCAGCATATACTGGGGTTAAACCATGACCAATATGCAATCCATCCAGCATATGCTTGGGTTAAACCATGACCAATATGCAATCCATCCAGCAGATACTGAGATTAAACCATGACCAATATGCAATCCATCCAGCAGATACTGAGATTAAACCATGACCAATATGCAATCCATCCAGCAGATACTGGGGTTAAACCATGACCAATATGCAATCCATTCAGCATATGCTAAGTTAAACCATGACCAATATGCAATCCATCAAGCAGATACTGGGGTTAAACCATGACCAATATGCAATCCACCCAGCATATACTGGGGTTAAACCATGACCAATATGCAATCCATCCAGCAAATACTGGGGTTAAACCATGACCAATATACAATCCATTCAGCAAATACTGGGGTTAAACCATGACCAATATGCAATCCATCCAGCAAATACTGGGGTTAAACCATGACCAATATACAATCCATCCAGCAAATACTGGGGTTAAACTATGACCAATATGCAATCCATCCAGCAGATACTGGGGTTAAACCATGACCAATATGCAATCCACCCAGCTTATACTGGGGTTAAACCATGACCAATATGCAATCCATCCAGCAGATACTGGGGTTAAACCATGACCAATATACAATCCATTCAGCAAATACTGGTGTTAAACCATGACCAATATCCAATCCATCCAGCAAATACTCGGGTTAAACCATGACCAATATGCAATCCATCCAGCAAATACTGGGGTTAAACCAGGACCAATATGCAATCCATCCAGCAGATACTGAGGTTAAACCATGACCAATATGCAATCCATCCAGCAAATATTGGGGTTAAACCATGACCAATATGCGATCCATCCAGCAGATACTGAGGTTAAACCATGACCAATATGCAATCCATCCAGCAAATACTGGGGTTAAACCAGGACCAATATGCAATCCATCCAGCAAATACTGGGGTTAAACCATGACCAATATGCAATCCATCCAGCAGATACTGAGGTTAAACCATGACCAATATGCAATCCATCCAGCAAATACTGGGGTTAAACCAGGACCAATATGCAATCCATCCAGCAAATACTGGGGTTAAACCATGACCAATATGCAATCCATCCAGCAGATACTGGGGTTAAACCATGACCAATATGCAATCCATCCAGCAAATACTGGGGTTAAACCAGGACCAATATGCAATCCATCCAGCAGATACTGAGGTTAAACCATGACCAATATGCAATCCATCCAGCAAAATACTGGGGTTAAACCATGACCAATATGCAATCCATCCAGCAAATATTGGGGTTAAACCATGACCAATATGCAATCCATCCAGCAGATGCTGAGGTTAAACCATGACCAATATGCAATCCATCCAGCAAATACTGGGGTTAAACCATGACCAATATACAATCCATCCAGCAAATACTGGGGTTAAACTATGACCAATATGCAATCCATCCAGCAGATACTGGGGTTAAACCATGACCAATATGCAATCCACCCAGCATATACTGGGGTTAAACCATGACCAATATGCAATCCATCCAGCAAATACTGGGGTTAAACCATGACCAATATGCAATCCATCCAGCAGATACTGGTGTCAAACCATGACCAATATACAATCCATTCAGCAAATACTGGTGTTAAACCATGACCAATATGCAATCCATCCAGCAAATACTGGGGTTAAACCATGACCAATATGCAATCCATCCAGCAAATACTGGGGTTAAACCATGACCAATATGCAATCCATCCAGCAGATACTGGGGTTAAACCATGACCAATATGCAATCCATCCAGCAAATACTGAGGTTAAACCATGACCAATATGCAATCCATCCAGCAGATACTGGGGTTAAACCATGACCAATATGCAATCCATCCAGCAAATACTGGGGTTAAACCATGACCAATATGCGATCCATCCAGCAGATACTGAGGTTAAACCATGACCAATATGCAATCCATCCAGCAAATACTGGGGTTAAACCAGGACCAATATGCAATCCATCCAGCAAATACTGGGGTTAAACCATGACCAATATGCAATCCATCCAGCAGATACTGAGGTTAAACCATGACCAATATGCAATCCATCCAGCAAATACTGGGGTTAAACCAGGACCAATATGCAATCCATCCAGCAAATACTGGGGTTAAACCATGACCAATATGCAATCCATCCAGCAAATACTGGGGTTAAACCATGACCAATATGCAATCCATCCAGCAAATACTGGGGTTAAACCAGGACCAATATGCAATCCATCCAGCAGATACTGAGGTTAAACCATGACCAATATGCAATCCATCCAGCAAATACTGGTGTTAAACCATGACCAATATGCAATCCATCCAGCAAATATTGGGGTTAAACCATGACCAATATGCAATCCATCCAGCAGATGCTGAGGTTAAACCATGACCAATATGCAATCCATCCAGCAAATACTGGGGTTAAACCATGACCAATATGCAATCCATCCAGCAGATACTGGGGTTAAACCATGACCAATATGCAATCCTTCCAGCACATACTGGGGTTAAACCATGACCAATATAAATCCATTCAGCAAATACTGGTGTTAAACCATGACCAATATGCAATCCATCCAGCAAATACTGGGGTTAAACCATGACCAATATGCAATCCATCCAGCAAATACTGGGGTTAAACCATTACCAATATGCAATCCATCCAGCAGATACTGGGGTTAAACCATGACCAATATGCAATCCATCCAGCAAATACTGGGGTTAAACCATGACCAATATGCAATCCATCCAGCATATACTGAGGTTAAACCATGACCAATATGCAATCCATCCAGCAGATACTGGGGTTAAACCATGACCAATATGCGATCCATCCAGCAGATACTGAGGTTAAACCATGACCAATATGCAATCCATCCAGCAAATACTGGGGTTAAACCAGGACCAATATGCAATCCATCCAGCAAATACTGGGGTAAAACCATGACCAATATGCAATCCATCCAGCAGATACTGAGGTTAAACCATGACCAATATGCAATCCATCCAGCAAATACTGGGGTTAAACCAGGACCAATATGCAATCCATCCAGCAAATACTGGGTTAAACCATGACCAATATGCAATCCATCCAGCAGATACTGGGCTAAACCATGACCAATATGCAATCCATCCAGCAAATACTGGGTTAAACCATGACCAATATGCAATCCATCCAGCAGATACTGAGGTTAAACCATGACCAATATGCAATCCATCCAGCAAATACTGGGTTAAACCATGACCAATATGCAATCCATCCAGCAAATATTGGGCTAAACCATGACCAATATGCAATCCATCCAGCAGATGCTGAGGTTAAACCATGACCAATATGCAATCCATCCAGCAAATACTGGGGTTAAACCAGGACCAATATGCAATCCATCCAGCAGATACTGGGGTTAAACCATGACCAATATGCAATCCTTCCAGCACAGACTGGGGTTAAACCATGACCAATACGCAATCCATCCAGCAGATACTGGGGTTAAACCATGACCAATATGCAATCCATCCAGCATATACTGGGATTAAACCATGACCAATATACAATCCATCCAGCAGATACTGAGGTTAAACCATGACCAATATGCAATCCATCCAGCAGATACTGAGGTTAAACCATGACCAATATGCAATCCATCCAGCAAATACTGTGGTTAAACCATGACCAATATGCAATCCATCCAGCAAATACTGGGGTTAAACCATGACCAATATGCAATCCATCCAGCAGATGCTGAGGTTAAACCATGACCAACATGCAATCCATCCAGCAAATACTGAGGTTAAACCATGACCAATATGCAATCCATCCAGCAAATACTGGGGTTAAACCATGACCAATATGCAATCCATCCAGCAGATACTTAGACCCTCACACACATCCCCAACAATTCATTGTACAGTAAATTGGAAGTAAATCTATAATGGTTAATATGAACTTGGTTCATTTTAAAACGACTTGGGTTTTACGCCGATTTTAGCAATATTCCAGTAATATCACGGCGAGGGACACCAGAAATGGGCTTCATGTACCCATGTGGGGAATCGAACCCGGGTCTTCGGCGTGACGAGGGAACGCTTTAACCACTGGAGGTGAGGTAAGGTGAGATAAGGTTTGGTGAAATGTGGTCTAATCTTGCGTTCAACATTATGCACCTATATTGCTTCGTGCATTTACATGTGTGGTAACCTGCTTGTACTCGTGCAAGTGTTTGGTAATCTGCTTGTACTGGTTTAGACATGTGCTGATTTCATAGAGCTAGCCATCTGAGATTCCTTGCTACACTTTAACATTGACATCCTACACAGACACTTTTTCTAACAGACCAGTCAATATTTTGTATCCCCAGTACCGAGTCACTGCAGGGTAACGACAAGTACCGTATTTTCACGTCTTTTGGTATAACGTTGGCAGGGTTTCGGACCACCGACCATCCGGTCTCCAACCAGACGCTCTTTCCACTACACCACGGAAGCTGTCTGCTTCTACATGCAATACCCGTATACGTGGTATCCATATGGTGGATCGAACCCAGGCATTAAGAGCGACCACCCTTACCATTGGCTTATCGCATCGTCAAGTTCCTTAAGGAAACATTTTAAAACAAAATAACCCATTATCCTTTAGTGGACTAACTGTCTTCCGTAAGAATTATTTGTACCGTGATACTATAGTAATCATATACATAAGGCATTAGTAGTGAGGCAAAGAAGTATTACAATGTTATATTATATATATATATATATGACTTACCCCCGCAAGTGTTGGAGCAGTGGGACCAGCCTGACCACTGACCATAGTGACCGTTGACTGGGGTCCTGGTCAGGAACGGACGTGTATGTCCTGCACCCCAGTCCTGGATACATAAACGAAGTAGTGGACGTACATTAATTACCGTCATCCACGACGTGTGAGCTATTACTGTGATGTCGATGGCCACAAAGTGTGGTGCAAGAGTTGTAGGTTTATAAATCTTTCACTTTCACTTCCAGTCTGAGACCTCAAACACACGCTGACAACTAATTTATCTAATTAAGATTCGATCTTAATCTGATGATGCCTGCACAGAATATCGCCTAAGATGTAGCTTAGCGAACACTGGTCATCCAGTTTACATGAAGTTTGCGTACGGGTTTGATAGATAGGGTCAGCAAACTATGATACAATTCTGAAACGGATCCTACCAGACTAGCTACCCCTATAGTAAATCCCCATGTCATTATTGTGTATATATTATAGGCAGTGTTACCCTTGGTGGCTGACTAGCCGTGGCCGGCAGGGTGTTCTGGTGGAGGGCGTGAACTCCAGTCTGTGAAAAATGAATAGTAATTGTAGGACATTGACGACCTATAACGGGCCGGTTACCCAAAGCGATCAGCACGACGACTGAGGTAGGTTTTCGTTAAAGTATGAAATTTACGATTACCCCAGGTTTGAGGTCGCGTAGTGGTATGGGACCCAGGTCATTTGCTCAGTGTTGAGACTCGTTACACAAAGATGTGACATTACAGCTCCCATAATGCAACACATACTTACGACAATCGTAGTGCTAATCTCGCTTTGTGAAAGAGGACGCTGACTGTACATATAAGGGTATTATCATCTTATTCAGTTACACAGCACACATACAATTTTATTGTTCAGGTCACTGGTATAAAGATGCGCCTATGTTCATATTTTATTTGTGTTCTTATTATTGATTTCGTATTACTTGTACATAAAATACCAAAAAGAATGCTACTTGATTTAAGCGCTTGAATTTACATATTTCAGAACGCTGATTTCTAGGTATTACGATGGCGTACAACAGGTGCCCGTCTGTACGGTCCATATGCTCTGGAGGAACAGTCGCCGTCGTGGAGGTTGCCGGAGAGGACCTGGATGCGTACGTAGGGGCAGCCGTCGGGACAAGCGTCAGTCTCGTTGTTGTACCTCTCATGGTTGTTGAACATCTTGAAGAACATCAATCTGTGGGACATACAATACAACGCTATGTTGATTATCGGTTTCTTATGATGGTTGGACAATGTCAGTATCTAGTAGTTTGTTGGACAGGGAGGCCGGGGTCTCGAGTCTGGGACGGGCCTTTGTGAAGACACATTGGCGCCACGCCCCCTGATGCAACCGCAGTGAAATGTGAGGAACTACGGTTCTCATCCTACATTGAACTGGTCCCGTACAACAAGCATGGTCATCTGCTCTTCTCTGGTATGTCTTAACAAGCATGTATGTCCACCAAGCTAATATATTCCAGCTATTACATGTTTCTGCTTGAATCACAACGTTTCTCAATTTGGACATTATTATCCGTTATTTATCGGTATCCAAATCAGATGAAATTGCTTTTGGTTCTGTTTAAGTTTACCGATTTTCAGGAAGGCAACTGTGTAAGAATCTATACCGAAACATCGTATCACAATACATGTATATCAAAGAAAATGTTGTCCCTAAAGTATCTGCCATTGTCATTCTGGTAGAAAGTAAAAGCTCGCCATTCTTTCACCGTTTTCGGTATGGTATTTCTGTAGACAGCGCAGTCAGCACTATGACACACGACAGTGGTGTCTCGACGCGGGTCTTACCCAGTATGTTTATCCCAGAAGTAGCCTGTGCCCGACTTGTCCTTCTCTCGAGGTCGGCTACACTGGTCAGTTCCGTCCAGTGTTGGTTCTCCCATTTCGACTGGCTATCACGATACACTGGCTTGAACTGCCAGATGTGGAACTTGCCATCCCTTGGTAGACACACGCCAAACCTGAGCCATCGACCTCTGGAAACAATGTAGTAGAGGCAACTACAGATATAAATACGTTCGAAATATCCCATGTTGTCGAAACACAGTTAAGTTTATTGCTTTCAAATGTGTAGTGAGTTTAGTCCATGGCCGCAATATTCCAGCAATATGGCAGCGGTCTGTAAATAATCTGTCTGGACCAGACAATCCTGTGATCAACAGCATGAGCATCGATCTACGCCACTAGGAACCGATGACATGTGTCAACCAAGTCAGCAAGCCTGACCACCCGATCCCGTTAGTCGCCTCTTACGACAAGCATGGGTTACTGTAGACCAATTCTAATCCGGATCTTCAGGGGTCCAGTACAAACGCTTTCAAGGCTATATGACCCATATCATAAACACGCGTAATACACAGTAATGTCACGTTGCACATCAAGGGGATGTATCATGTTTTTCATTCTGATTGGAAATGCAATATTCATAAAATGTGAAAGATGTAATAAGTCCTGCGGTTTTCGACAATTAATTGTAGCGGTCATATTATTGATTTCGTTGTTACAATGAGTACGTCCGTTGGCATGCAAAGGACATACAGTTAGGGCTAGATAATGCAGAATTATGCTCAATGATAAACTTTTGATGTGTCACATGGCAATATTCCAGCAATATCACGGCGGGGGACACGAGAAAAGGGTTTCACAAATAGTACCCATGTGCGGAATCGAACCCGGATCTTCAGCGTGATGAGCGAACGCTTCACACCACTCTTCCGTTAATATATTAAGATAGAGTTGAGCAAATGATTGAGTGGGGGCTAGATGAAGGGGTTCAACCCTTTTTTAATGCACTCTTGTATCGAACGAGTTTGGTAGCGAGCTGACAAGCTTAGAAACATAACATTATGTGCTTCTGGGATTTCAACCTATGATTACAGATTCAGTCTCGCCTAAGGGACCCAACCTGGCACAACGATTTACCCGACTTGCGGACGCGCCCAGTCATGGCGAACTTAAAACTAAGATAATCAGAATATCATTTTTCATCGTCTCTCTTCCTTTTGGATTTTAGAATTATAAGCACAATATAGTCAATAATGTCCGTTTGCCTACTTATCAATCCCTTCCCCGACAATATGAAACTCGTGGGGCACGATGCCGCTCCAGTGTAGAGTGTAGCTGTAATGTCCCCCCAGCGTCACCGGGAACGCCGCCGAGTGCGCCCACGTCTCCGTCATCTTAGCAGCGGGGTCGTCGTCTCTGATCATGAAGGGGTGTGTCTTGCCATGGTCCCCAGTACTCCCGAGTCGTATCGACAACTGCACGGAGATAGCAGTTAAAGTGTTATTTCTGTTGCACAACACTGTTATAATGGTTTCTTAAATGCTCAAGTGCACAGAGCAATATTCCAGCTATGTGAAGGCTATCCTCAATAGCGTCCCTCGTTTCGCTATATTCAAGAACCCAAAGTTGTTAAAGCGTTCCTCCACGATTTTTCTCAGGTGCATCAAAACTGATTTCGGACGTCCACCCACTCAACCTAACACCGGTTTTGTGTTGCATGTTTGTTATTTAACGCCGCACACAGCAATATTCCAGCTATATGGTGGCGTTCTGAAAATAATCGAATCTGGACCAGACAATCCAGTGAACAATATTACGCGCACCGATCTACGCAATACGGATACGATGCCATGTCATCAACATTGTCACCGAGGCTGACCATCCGATCCATAAACTTCATGAATTGAAGCCAACAATTTGTTATACCCACTTGTATTGTCAGTCAAGACGTGATGAGGTAATTTTACGACGATGTCGTATTGGACACAGTCAGTTTACTCATGACTATCTGCTCAAAACGGATGGGGATGGACCTCCTATGTGTGTCTCTTGCGATGAAGTGTTCACCAGCAAGCATACATGTATACTGCCTGACTGTGTGGACTTTTCGACTGCAAGGGATCCACATTATGATGCGAGAATGAAAGATCAATTTCCCCGCGTAAGGGGTCATCTCATTGTTAGCTACCTGAGGGAAGTTGACCTGTACCATAAATTGTGACTATGTAATGTGAATGACGGATTGCTAGTTGTATATGTATATGAATTAAGACTTGATCTCGTCACAATATGGCTGGAATAATGCCGATGTGACGTAAAAGCCAACCCAACTTAATTAATTCCGGCCTCACTTACGACAAGCTCAGGCTACTGATGACATGTATTCTCCCTATGGGCGTATGCCTCAGTGATTGACATGACTTTATTAATACTGGCTGACAAATATATCATACCGTAGGTATTACAAGTCGACTATTAACATCATCATGTCACCTCGCATTACACGCCAACATAGATAATGATGATATAGAACAAACTTTATGGATAACAACTTCCTTTTTATTCGTGAGTGCGACGTTTCGATACAGATTCTTGTACCGTTGTCAAGCATAATGGGACATGAAGAAGGGGGAAGTGTATATATACTGGATGTAACAATGTAACAAAGAAACACTTCCCCCTTCTTCATGTCCCATTATGCTTGACAACGGTACAAGAATCTGTATCGAAACGTCGCACTCACGAATAAAAAGAAGTTGTTATCCATAAAGTTTGTTCTATATTGTACTTCCCAACTTCTAAAATGCCACTCAAAGAAGTAGATAATGATGGTTTGTCTACACCAATACTGTACCCACATAAGGGGTATCACTTACAGAGCCGAACTCCTGGGGGGCATATCTGCATATTCCAGTTGTCCCGCCGGTAGCATCTAGCGTTGTGGTAGTACGACCCTGGCTTCACCACAGTTGCCCCCCGGTACCCAGTTAGGGAACCGTCGGTGTCCCTGATGGTGGCAGTCTTGTCGCCGTCGTCGTTGCCAAACCCGTGGATGGTCTCATTACCGTCATACACTCGGTTACCCGTTGTGGGCTACATACAAGGAGCGAAAATTATCATTACACGTGATTGATGATTGCTGTTGATTGGCTAATGGTCGTATACAAGTTTGCAAAGTTTTTCTCTTGTTTGCAAATAAAGGCGTTTATTCCGAAGTCAGAATAGATTGACCTTATGCTAGCCTTTCGGTAGGCTCGTATATTTTATATATTTTATACAATATATATGCTACGGCAACTGCGACAGGAAGGTGTATTACATCATGTCATTTTACAATACATTGACGGATCGCTAGCTCTCCTAAGGAGGTGACAGCACATGGAGCCGTAAAAACAATGTAAACAAACTACAACTACGCACATTGACATTTTTTTTTCACAATGTTGATATTTTCTCAATGAAAGTTAACCATTCTATGATACATGTTTATCAAAAGGTGTACACTGATCCAAAATAAACCATGCGGCATATTTATTAGACGGTGTCAAATGTAACAAATCGTGACATGCCGGTTGCTTTGTCACACGTAGTATGCTGGCTGTATGGAACTCTGGGTAGGAGAGTGGTTTGTCACGTCAAAACGTTAGAGTATTCATTATGGCGTCATCTGTTTTCCTGTCGTGATTGACAATGTTCACACCATAAGTTACCAGGAACCAACTGACGGACACAGAGTATGGAGAACCTTCATTTGGAACTGAGCGCCGAAATGCACACATAAGCGATATCTACTCGATGTGTATAATGTACACTGCATCAGACATAACTTCAGACATTGGACCTTGGATTGTACAACAGTTAGTTTTGAAACAGCATCGAACACGTGGGTTCTGCGTAACGATCGAACTCACTAAACATGTAGCTATCACACCACCCCTTATTTGTGTATAAGGTATGTTTGGATACATCTCATTCATGGCCTTGGCAAAGCCTCTGATTCCAAGCATTATGGTGTTTCAATTATATTTTGATTTTATGTTTGTAAAAGTTGTATTTTACCCCGTCCACAAAGTTAAACTTGACATTGGTAGCCATGTTGGATGGAGATGAACTGTATTCGTTGTTTCGAAGGAAGCCGATCGCCCCCGCGGTGTAGTTGACGTTGCTGATGAAGTTACTGAACCACACGTTCTTTATATATACAGGACCGTCGTAGAAGAGGAAGCCGTTTAGAGGCTGGTGCCTGTGAACCAGAACAGGTAGTTATTTATCACAGGCTGACTTGTGTATCTTGTGTCATGTCAAGTGATGTACTGTTCAGAGACAACCCCGTCCACCTACTCACGCACTCACTCAACCGCGCCTCTGACATTCGAACATATGCATTAATACAATCATAACATTAAAATTTGATCAATGAAATTCAGCACAAAACAACAGTTTAATCAACTCAGTCTTTTACTGCCCAGTGAAGTTCCAACTACACATGCTTGTCTTAGCAGCTGACTAACGGGATCTGGCACATTGGATTCAAGCATTACATCGTTTCTCAACTGATCGATACTCATGATGTCAGTCAGTGGATTATCTGGTCCAGACTCGACTAGTGTCAGACCGCTATCATTTACCCGACGTATTGCTGCATGCGGCGTTAAACAACGTTTCAAAACGAACGTGCTTGTTCCAACATTTGGTAACCGATGTTTGTCTCTCAACTGACAGTGTTCACAATCTCAGGGAGAGAAGATCTTTCACTTCGAGTTGATTCCTTTTTATCATTGTGAAAATCGGAAATCTCTCGACGCAGGTACCGTTTTTTCACTCACAAACACCATTTACTTACTCACAGCGCACCAATTTCACTTACACTATTTTATTTCTGTTTGAGAAAGTAGTTAGAAATGCATCATATTAATGAATGTGCTTTGAAGAACATAATTAGCTGATTATGACTTCAAGCTTTATATGTATCTAGTGCTGCTTGCATGAAATTCTGTTAAAACTGGGGTTCTAAATATTCCAAGGTTGTCATAAAAGGTAACTGATCGCATTTCATCTTGCTCATGTTTCACTGGTAGTATAGGTTCGACATTATGTTGCTGGAATAGTTGTGAATGGGGGGCCGATCTAACCATGCCAGACTGAAAGACACCAGCAACTTACGGGTCATACGGAAGTGGAATACTTCGCGGCATGTCGGTGTATTTGTCGTTGCCAAGGGAGATCCGTGAAGGTTCGCCAAGATTCCGGGATTCGCCGATTACGATGGAGTTGGTCAGCGATTGATCAGCCGCTGCCCTGTATTGAAGAAGAGTCCAGTAAGTCCAAAAGTCATTTGCACAAAACCGTCATATTGTTCGTTGGTATGTCAATCACTTTTGTCAGAAGCATGAACGGCTGTGAGTGCCTTGTCATTAATATGGTGACCGACCACACATTTCCAGTTCGTATAGACATATAATGCCGACCATTAACCAATCTCATAAACATAACTGTTAATATGTAATGAACAAATGTAGTTAACGTTAGTCAATACTATCTCTTAAAGGCTTGTTTTCAATATGTATACGCATAGACGACATTGTGATTACATTATATCTCCTCTATTATGACTGAAGAGAGCTTCAAGTTGCTTATGACCGTGTTTCGGAACGAAATTCAACATACCTAGCCATGGTCAAGCTCCGTCCACTGTCCGCAAACCTGTTGATAAAATAAACACAAAAAACATCAAGCCATTACTCATGAGGCTTAATCCTAAGACAGTCGGACAGTTTCAGTGAGAACTGCGCCACAATAGAGACTATGATGATCAAGTTTGTTGTTCCTGTTTAGCATGATAAGTGACATGTTGATATTCACAACTGATGTTGACTCATACATTATATTGATTTCATGAGGTATATATTGAATATGAATAAAAGCATATTGTAATGACGTATTCTTTGACTAGACCATTACTGTTTACTGTCGACATACAGCTCAAAGAGGTGTGTGTGTGTGTGAGTGAGTGTGTGTGTGTGTGTGTGAGTGTGAGTGTGTGAGTGAGTGTGTGAGTGAGTGTGTGACGTGATCACTGTGTATTCCGGGTGCTACTTACGATGAATGATCCATCCGTATCAGACCACCCCTGATCCAGGCGTTCTGATACTGGTTCTTGTAAGCTGTTGAAACATGTACAGAGATCCATTATAATCCAACATAATAACAGCAGCTACAAAAACAGGCTATCATACAAAACTCTGCTGAAAGCTGAGTCAATATACAATACCGACAATATGTAAGTATCTATATACGTGTATACATATGGATCGCTATCAACTTGCGATGATATCAGGTGATCGTGAAGAAATACAGAACGACGTTCTATTGGCGACGTCATAAATCTTAAGTGAGCAGGATACTCAACCATGGTCAAGATATTTACGTCACTCTTCTTTTAACAGGAATGTCTCATCAGTATTAAAAGGGCTTTGTCGGTATTACTAAATTTATTATATTTATTGTTGTTGTTGTTAGTAGTAGTAGTAGTAGTAGTGGTGGTAGTAGTAGTAGTGGTAGTAGTAGCAGTGGTAGTAGTAGTGGTAGTAGTAGTAGTGGTAGTAGTAGTAGTAGTAGTGGTGGTAGTAGTGGTAGTAGAAGTGGTGGTAGTAGTAGTAGTAGTGGTGGTAGTAGTGGTAGTAGTAGTAGTGGTGGTGGTAGTAGAGCCGTTAAACGTTGTTACTATATAAAAATGTCATTTAAGACTCTGCATGACATCAATACTAGTTCAAAGGTTTAGTACATAGTAAGAAAGTGGAAGGTTTATACAACACCAATCAGCTGATTACTCTGTGATAATATCCTGCTTGACGCCCCGTATATGTTTGTTTAAAGGAAAACCTTGTGGCATGCGTTCCGATTATTTGTCAAGTAATTTTAGTTTAAATAAAGAAGCATGTATGTTTACTGTTTGAGGTAGAATAATTAACTTACCCGTCAGTCTGTAGAGAACAACCTCTTTGAAAGGAGATGTTGTATTTAGAGGGTCCTCTCTTGCATCGTAGTGATTGTTGTCCCCGACTGACTCGTCCGGCTCGACGATGCCATCCATGAACATCCCCTGGGAACAGAGAAACAACACCATCAGCAGCAGCCACAGCTCCATGTTGGGGGCAACGTGGCCCAGTCGTCTAGGACGACGCATTTTCACTGAGCAGATCTGTCTGCCTTGGGCACACCAGAACCCTATGATTGTAGGTTCGAACCCTGGTTCCCCTCGGTATTGTTTCTGCGTTTGTCAGGGACAATACCCATGCTAGTGGGTGTCACCGTAGTGGTCTTTATCTCTAACAGGTGATGTGATGTGAAATTGGGTTTAACGTCGTGCTTGAGAATATTTCGCTCATATGACGACGTGCATGCGTGTGTATGTTGGGCTGCTTGTACTAGCCCAGACTGAAGCTGGTTTTATAGTGCTAGCACACTGAAATACCATGCCGCAGTGAAGCATGAATACCCCACTCAGACACATTATACTGAGTCCGAGCCGACCAGTCCTTGTTGTACCCATTAATACCAAGCGCCAGACAGGGACCAACAAGTACCATATTTTAACGTCTAACATGTAAATCACTTCGAGCTCTCTACCAGCAGACAGGAGCCGTGAAATAACTCACTCGCTTCCATCTAGATTTACAGTACTGGATGTTGATACGGATAACAGGTCCTCATGTCCTTTTTGTGCTTGTGATTAATCATGTTCGCATCTCTAGCGACCTACCTGGATGTTGGAGTGGGCAACGTTGTTGTTGAACTCCAGCAGGGCGGTGTGTTTCGCTTCATTCTTCTGAAAGAATCCCAGACCGAAGGAAGGACCCATTGGCTCGTCGGGATACACGTACCATATACCTACACCCTAAAACAAAAAACACACGTCGTAATAAAAAACTAATAAAAACTCAAAATTTACAACGTTTAAAGTCTCGCCATATTCTATGTGTCATGTGAATAGGTTATAGATAAGGGCGGCTGTAACAAAACGACGTATATAATTGATGCGCTTTCACAAACACATACGCACACGCATACGCACACGCCCACAACGTGAGATGTGTGTCTGCACGTGTAATTACGAGGTGATGACAACAGATACAGAAAGCTGCGTACCCTCGCCACCGGCGGCGACGTTGTTTCTAAGGTACACTGACGGTGACGTCATCCAGAACGTGGCAGGCTTGCTGTGGAGGGACGTATAATAATATACTGACGTGCATAAAAAGGTACACAACTCGTGTTTTGGGACTATTCCCACTAAAACCATGAATATTTTGCTAGCAATGTTGTAATCGGGTACAATATCTGTGGAGTTTTGGAAACACTCATACAATGTTTGTGACAAGGCAGAATCAAAACACTTTTTAAATATTAATGCTGTTTTCAAGAAAATAATTTACCAAACAATCACGTGTGTACTTTCTTTTTCAACGTCAGTTGATATGCCACTGAAAGGATGCTGAAGAGCACGACAGATTAACCACAGTCACATGAAAAATGATTTATGTTCTTTTGAGCAGTACTTATCATTTAAACCAATCATTATACTACTTCATTCAATTGCAACATTGATATACAATTAGTTTCCTTTCTTGATTTTGTGTGAACTGGTGTGGCGGTGTAGCCCAGTCTGGGTTTCATTTTCATGTGTGTACACTGTGTGTAGCCGTAGCATGTCCCTTGGTGTGATATTGCCATCAAAACGGCTTGAAAGCGTACTCATTCTTTACCAGCGGGCGTATACCCTTGTTATACATGCAATGAAGGAACGTATTAGCACATGTTGGCCTCTAGTCCAATAGATAAGCGTTATAATATGCCATGTTAACCAGTAAATAATATAGATGTATGTTTATATCTTGACAGTGACGTACCCATCCGAGGGTAGAATACTGCCCTTTTCTGGTTCCTACTCCAAGGTTACCGTCGAAGACGTTCCTCTTCTCCCCGCCGTCTTCCAGGAAGTAACAGTGACCAAGGTGGTCATATCCAACATTGTCTTGGACCTTTCAGAAGATACACGTCAAAAGATATTTCTCTGTACATCTTAAGTGCTTCAGAAGATCCAAAATACTTCCGCCCGCATCATCAGCAAGACTTCTAAACGTTCCCATATAACACCAGTGTTGAAAGGACTGCATTGGCTACCAGTTAGGGCCAGAATTGACTTTAAGATCCTCTGTCTGACATACAAGTGCCTCCATGGTTTGGCTCCCTCCTACTTGTCTGAACTCCTACATCCGTATGTCCCCGCACGCAACTTACGCTCAAACACACAAAACCGACTGGTCATCCCATCCTACAAACTGAAATCCTTCGGACACCGATCATTCTCTTACTCCGCGCCTGTGCTTTGGAACTCTCTCCCATGTGCCCTTAAAAGCTCTGCCACAATTGACATTTTTAAGTCCAGACTTAAAACCCACCTTTTCTCAGTATATTATGTATAACTTCATCTGTAAATATTCCAGTGTAAATATTCTGTAGCGCTTTGAGCATGCCTTAGGGGTGTGGAAGGGGCGCATTATAAATATGCATTTATTATTATTATTATTATTATTATTATTAAGTGTGTGCTATTACAGGAACCGGAAGTAAATATGAATAACAAATATCAGGCGACTAACAGGGGTTACCTGTTTGGATTGGATTGCATCGTTACTAAATTGCGTATATTGTCAGGTCCAGACTTGTATATTTACAGACCACCATCATATTGCCGAGTGCGGCGTTAACAAAAATACAACAACTACTGTCACATTACGTGATTTAATTTCGTTTCGTTTAGTTCACGGTAATACTTTTTAGTCAACTGAGAGTTGTCTCCCTTGGTAAACAGTGCGCCAAGACATGGCGAATGTAACTTAATCTTGAAGATTAAACTTTTAAGTTTAATGGACATTCACGTCATCTTTTCGACCAAGGACCAAGCATAACAACTACAACCCATCTACCCCTTTTTACTACTGATACGACTACGACTACTGCTAATGAGGTTGTAGGCTGAAGCACTTACTGTAGCACCATGAGTGCCGTGGACGGTGACACAGCGGCTGTAGGTGTGGTGTACAGAGCAATGTCGCACCCAGGCTGGGTTGCTATAGTTACCAACGCTGTCGACATCGTGAGTCATATGAAAGTGGATTGGATAGAAACCTGAGAAACAAAGATGTAACGCTAATTTAACGTTACAATAGATAGTAATGAAATCATCACAGACTCATATCTAGAGATGTGTCTTTCGTGAATTGCCAGAAAAAGAATTTCCATAGAATCTGAGTATCTGGTTTTGAGAGTGCGACATATATTCTGTGTAAAAACTATAATGATCGTTACCTTTTTCGGACTGTTGTCCCATGTGAGTCAGCTCAACCCCTTGTATGTGGACGTCCTTGAAACCCTTCACAAACTACAACACAAGGTTTGTTTTAAAATTAGTTTCTTTTGTGTGGAAATCTTTACATCCTGATAACTTCAGATTTTGACAGATTGTGTTTTTACCGCAGTATCTGTTTTTGCCGCACTATCTGCAACATGAGGACAACGGTACAATTATTACATTTTGATATATTCATATTCACAGCCTTGTGATGATGACAGTAGCATCCAGATTACCTACCCACAGGAGAGAAGCTAGCAGTGATGACTGCATTACGTTTTATCAAGAAGGATTTCGGTTTTGCAACGAGAACAAATTGCGAAGCGGAGAGGTCCAGAAATTGGATCAAGGTAGCTGGAATAACAGCTGGATGTTTGACATCATTAGAAGATTGGCTGATAACTGTGACCCCGCAGGCTTTGGATTAGAACTCCCAGCTGGTGGGTGTGCTCGGGTGGGGTTGATTTGCACTTTATGGTTACAGTGACATCGGAAACTATTCTGAAAACTGTGAGATTCCACAACGTGTAACTACCTGTGAAGGTCCGGGTTAGAATTGATCATCAGTAACCTATGCTTGTCGTAAGAGGCGACTAACGGGATTGGGTGGTCAGGCTCGTTGACTTGGTTGACACATGCCATCGTATCCCAATTAAGTAGATCGATGCTCATGCTGTTGATCACAGGATTGCCTGGTCCAGACTCGATTATTTACAGACCGCCGCCATATAGGTGGAATATTGCTGTGTGCGGCGTAAAACTAAACTCACTCACTCAATCATAACTTGTAACAACGTTTGTCCTGAGTTACCTTGACATGGCCACCATACGTGTCATAGTTATATATATTACAGTTGCGGTTGCTAGGTGGGCACGTGTTCTCCATGCGACCTTCAACCCGGATGTTGCGGGTGAGCAGCGCCACCTCGGCTCTCTGGTCCACACCGTCCACCATCTCCCCCCAATGTGTGAAGCGCGGCTCCACTGGAACAGACAACAAGGTGGATGTTCAGGGTAAAGGTGCTGTGAAAAATACAGAAACGCTTGGAGCCTTTCACAGAAGGATGGATACTAGACTAGTCCGGTGAATTTGGGGACAAAATGGACGTGAATTCAACATTTCATACACGTACCTCTAAATATCCTATCATTCTTGGGTATTTGAAAAAACCCAACCATGTTAATCTTCTGTGATTTCTCAGTAAAGACATAAAAAACGCGTCGAACCACAATAGTATATATTATCAGTGGAAGTTTAAGGATTAGATAGGCACCCATGATATAAAGGTATGACATTTGTAACATAAGGCGTGTACTGGATGTCACCAGCTGACCGTTCTTGTATATCCACAGACCGAATGTACTAGGACATTAAGGCTGTGGCGCCCTGCACACCCCGCCTGTAATGTGTGTAACACATGCACCCTGTTATTCATTAGTCATTCATTCAAACAGTTATGTGTTACGAAACATGTCCATAATAAGGTAAGTCACTGTAAGAATGCGTATGTTTCCGCTTTTAACAGTATTTCACTGATCAAGGTGTGTCAGCCTGAGGTGAGAGGAAAGCCCGGAGTGGTATAGGTCTCTCAAGCTTACACACACTGGTATGGTGCTGACAAGACTATGTGAGCACTTTTGTAACAAAGGCAATGTCTCTAATTAATAAACTGACAGTTATTAATTTGACTTGTGAAATCAATGATTCCTGAAAACGTTTTGACAATAACGGGCTAACGGAAAGTACCAAAGAGAAGAGTTTGGCCCGATGATGACTTGTATGGGTTCTTAAAGACGCAAACGGCCTATCAGACCTTGGTTCTCTGACGGGTGATGCTTGAGGGACTTACAGTCTATCTGGACTTGATTATGGTGACACTTGGCACACTTGATGACAGTTCCTTCCTCTGTCTGGGTCCATTGGTAGTCCGTGGATGTTACTATGACTCTGTCACCTGTGTGTGGTCAAAATTAAATACTGCTTTACGAAAACATTCACTGCGACATACTCAAATCACATGACCTAATCACACTGGCCAATTGGATAGAGCGTCTGTCGGAGGGCGGAAAGTCTGTGGATCGACCCGAGGCGTCATACCAAAACACATTAAAACATTGTACTTGTCGTTACCCTGTCTACTGCTAGGCGTTAAAGGGACAATGGGATTAAAGTATATTTCGTCAGAGTAAGGTATCCATATCGGTATGGGTTTGACATGATGCTTACAAATGAAGAGTTATAATCAGTGTGGGTTTAACATGACAACCACGATATGGGGATTCGGTTACGTTACCAAGGGACATAACTCTGCACAGCACATTATTTCTCGTCATCGTACTCATAATCAAAGACATGTTAAAGGAGGGTGTAGCTGAAACAATTTTGCTTACCTGGTTGCCATGTCGACACATCGTCTATAACATTGAGGATGGGGTATGCAGCCTGAGTTGACACGACCCTAAAGTCGACAGAGTTCAAGTAGGAGTGTTTGTTGTCTATGTAGCTGCTGACAGAGAACCTCAAACGTCTGTCCCACAGAGTCAGACTGACCTTGGCAGTCTGAGATCGCAGTTTGTAGTTGACACCAATCTTCTGGTCTAACGTGTCCGGCTTTCCTAATTTTCAAACACGGAATTAATTACACGTACGTGCATGTTAGACGTAGTAAGATTGTAGCAGACCTGATTATTAACGTGAAAAAAGCAATAATTTTTTCTTTGGAATGGCCTCATTAGAAATATTGTATGATCTTCCTTATTACATGGCATAACAAAATGAATGTGTATATTCTTGTTTTCGGATATTTTTTATGATCCTAAACTTATTTGAAATGGAAATTTGAGCCTAAAAAAGAAATGTAGTATATCTAAATCAAGAAGCTAAGAATTATAAGCTAAAGCTTGCACATGGGAGAATTCATATAACTCTTGTGATGAAACGGAAAGATCTCACGCTTAAATGTATAATCTATATGTCATCAAAAGTAACGATCTGTATGAAAAAAAAGAAAAAAAAGACTCTTTTGCAAAACTCTTTTACTTAACATTTAATGTAATACCTTTAATCCGTAGTGTGATGACATTACCTTTCTGAATGATGAGAGCGTATGCGTCGCCTTTCTGGGACAGATCTAATTAGCCCATTTCCGGTCACGTGTCCATCAGTAAGTGCCTCCACAGCCTCGTATACAGGTGTCAGATTGACCCGTGGCTCGAACAGGTTCGTCTTGACACTCAGTTGGACAATGTTCCCATCCTTTGCATCTGGAAACGTTTGAGGAAATGAAAATCCGGTAAATATGTGAATGTAACTATAAGCAATAGGCGATGCTAATCACTTTCCATAATGGACATATGGTACCTGTTTACAGGCAATTATTTACCATTCAAAAGCAGCTATGTGTGATGTTTGTACTATGTTACTCTTACTATTGATGAACTGTGCCAGAGACGCTGGATCTCTCGGGGAGTAGTAACTGTTGTACTCTCCCAGAATGAAGCTTGCAAAGTCCATCACGTGACCATTTCTTCCATCCATGACGTAAGCGTGGATGCCCTTCTTCCAACTCCCATCAGAACTGTGGTTGCTTGTCTGTCGAGAAGTAGGTATTTCAAACATATAGCGAGTGAGATTCTGTGGCGAGACAGTATGTTATCGCCGAGAGAATCCCAAAAGCGAGATAAGCTTTTATCTACGAGTGAGATTCAAGATCAAGGCAAGCTTTATTGAGAAGTCCGATTCAAGGTTGAAAAAGCACGTGTAGACGATTCCTATTTATGATCGAGATAAACGTGTATCAAGTAATCAGCTTCAAGGGTGAAATTGTATCTGATCACAAAAGTCATTTTCAAGCTGAGGATAAAGGGTAAAATTAAACATTTGTGACGTCCTGGAGACCGATGACGTCACAGTGATGCGAACGCCGCACAGTACTCCCTCTCTGCAGAGACCATAAGGCACAAGGTAGGGGGGGGAACCAGGTTACCAATTTGGATCTTGAAAGGCACCATTGAGCACTGTCAAGTCAAACGTGAAAGGAATTCAAGGGGATTCCCCGTCGGTGTCATCACGGTCCTTCCTATTTGGTCCCAGTTTGGTGGGTCGCTGACACTAACTGGCATCTGGTGATAACGCGGGAAGATGACAATGGACAATAGCTAGGGTGTCGTTTCCCTTTAACAGTTAACTGGAATACTAGCCTTGTGTTCGTAGTGCAGTCCATTGGCGCTGGTCAGTTTGGGCAGAGTTCTGGTCAGTTTAGTCCAGGACAGCTTCTCTCTGCCATGAAGTTCCAAGGTGCCACCCGGAGCCACCCCGATGAACTTCTCCCCGAACAGGTGAGGTCCCATGACGTATCTGTACTTGCCACGGATGCCTGTTGTGTGTGTGAAACGTGTAACTCAGTGATTGCGTAACTATGTAGGTGATGTCACATAACGACACGATGTGAACGTGATGGCATCATGGCAACCATTTAACATACATACATACATACAGTACATACAGTACATACAGTACATACATACATACAGACATACATACATACATACATACATACATTGACATTGGTTTACATACCGGATACATACATACATACATACATACATACATACATACATACATACATACAAACAAATACTTCTATAGCGCCACGCTGGAGCCAAAGGTTAACTTTGATAAAAAGATGAGTCTTTCACTGGCTTTTGAAAGATGCAAGTTCAGTCAGTGATCAAAGTTCTTGTGGTTGTTTGACATGTTCACTATTCCCTGATACTATTGGTGATTTGATTGATGTAAGTCGAGTCCTAACTGTGTACATAGACGCGCATGAAGTCAATCACTGACTGATTATCCAGTTTGAATAGAGTGTTCAGCCTTAGGCTACACACTAAAGTGAGTGAGTGAGTGGGTCGGTTGGTGAGTGAGTGAGTGCACAGGGCTTTTGTAACTTTTAGTAAGTACTATATTTCAACGAAATCAAATCTGGGAGTCGGCATAACGTTTTAATCATATCAGTGTAGTCTGGATACCTGTAAGGGTGATGTTGGCTTTCCTGTGAAACTTGCAGTCATCACTGCCGATGTCAAAACGCCCCTTGATCAAAATGTACTGGGTGGTCAGGTTGTAATCTCCATCCGGGCTCCACACTAGACGTCCGTTTGTTTCTATGGTGACGCTGTGTAGTTCCGGTGGGGATTCGTCCAGCAGGATGGCATCATTGATGAAAACTCGGGATTGTGCACCAGGTTTCTGTCAATGTGAAAAGGAATTTATCGACTGGTATGTCGTCGTTTATACATTCAAATGTGGATGTATAAATCTCATTTTACAAGAATTTTGCTGAAAATAACATGTCAAATTCACCACATTGTAAAAAAGGTGTATCTGTGGAGGTACATGCAAAACATGTACCCGTCATTTAGCAAACATCAAGTTTCAGTAAACTTGGTAACTTTAAAAACCAATTGATTTCGTTGTTGATAAGCAGCTTGCAACTGCTCAAAGATGGCAAGTTATTGGTATGCGGAATGCTGGCATGGCCTAAAGGGGTATTGCATGTAATGTTTGTTGTCATCCATCCACCTTCAGTCGATTTCCCAGGTGAGGTGAGGTAAAACTGGGTTTTACGTCGTGCTTGAGAATATTTCGCTCATATGACGACGTGCATGCGTGTGTATGTGTATGTGCGGCTGCTTGTACTAGCCCAGACTTAAGCTGGTTTTATAGTGCTAGCCCACTGAGATACCATGCCGCAGTGAAGCATGAATACCCCACTCAGACACATTATACTGACTCCGAGCCGACCAGTCCTTGTTGTACCCAAATGCCGAGCGCCAGGCAGGGACCAACAAGTAGCATATTTTAACGTCTTTTGGTATGACGCGGTCGGGGATCGAACCCACGACCTTCCGTTCTCCGGGCGGACGCTCTTACCACTACACCACGGTCTCGATTTACCAGAAACATTGGCACACCAATGAAAGGTCGTCAGGGTTCATGTCGCCCTCAAGTGAGAATCCCAAGACAGAATCACAAGACAGAATCACAAGACAGAACCACAAGGCTTCATCGGTTCATGTAAAGTGGCTTCAACGTCGTCGTTTGTTGAACAGAACGATCCGAAATCGCCTATAATCGACCCTCAGACGTCCGTTGAAATCCCCAGATACGTTGCACGACTTTGGCGAATGTTTAGGACATTAAGTCGCAGAATACTCCGGAAAGAACTTCCTATAGAAACTCGTGATGTATTGAGACAAGAATGGAAAGAATGGAACGCAACACTCAACAATCACATTCGTCAGATACAGCCATTGAGATGGGAGGGACATGTATGTTATTGCAGTTGGCGGAGTTTACACCATATAGTGACGTAGTGTTCGATCATTGATACTCAATTGTTGCCATATTGCTTATCTGAATAACTTACGATCTCGTCCTTTTAGAATTGCTATGTAATCTTTATTTGATGCTTAATAAATCCCAACAGTAAGTTAGATTGCGGTTCATAATACGTTTCTTAGCTATGGTTAATGGTAACATCTTGATATGGGCTGTGAATAAACGGTTGTGTGATATATGGTATAACGTAAACAGCATCAAAAAGGAACTGGCTTCACTACGATTTAATACAGATACTTTATCCGACAGGGAGGAAGCCAAAGACATGTGATTAACCTGCATCTGTGACTTACGGTCATGAAACGAGGAACTACCAAAACCCCAAACACAATATTTTAGGAAAGGGCGTTTCAGCGCTACTCAATCTAAAAGACTAAAGGACCAATCAGAATCAGTTCGTCTTTTTGTTCGGCTGGTAATACTATCATCATGCAGGCCATACCCATGTTTACGAATTGGTTTATGTTTGAAAAAACAAATGTCTAACAAGCAAAAGAAAGCTCGCAAAATTCGTTTTTTTCTCTGAAAAGGATAATTATCATGTTACCTCCAATTTCCTGTTTCCCCTTATCTGGAAATTTGATTGGTCGGTACAATATATATACAAGTCAAAGGCAGGTAAGTTGAGATCTTGAGGAATGGATCCAGGA